GGATTAACCTCTACTGCTGAACCACACGTTTGGGATTAGTTAGACATAAGTGATTAAAGTATTAAATTCAAAGTTGAATAATTTGATAATATTTGAATTCAATTTTTGACAAAAATAATTTTTAATTAGATTTTATTTACCTTTTAGTTGAATCAGATTAGTTTAAAGTAAAATATTAGGACATTAATGCAAGATAATAATAAAAAAAAATCTTTAGTTAACCACAAAAAATATTAGCTAAATTGACTTTTTTTTCTCCTAATTTTATTAAAATCTTACAAAGGAAAAATAATAATAATAAAATACTAGATCAAAAAAGATCTTTGAATTTTAAGCTTTTAAATTATGGATCCTAGCTAAATTTATTTGGCCTATCAAAAGTAAATTAAATTGATTTTATTCTTTTTAGGTCATTGTAATCTAGTTTATACGATTTTTTTATCATTGTAGTGGGGTCCATGAATATGTAGCCTCCTATCTTCCTATTTCATGTGAGTAAACGACATTTTTTTTTCTCTTTTCCATTTTAGTTTGAGTAAAAAGAGTATCAATGTTATAGTACATATGCAAATTAGTCATGATCATATAGTGTTAAACCATGCAATAATTTTTTTTCTTCATAATTTGAAGTGCACATTGTTTTTTTTCTTCTTTATAAATTAGATGATGCCCTTTTATGAAAATGACTTGATCATGATCACATTAGTTCTTTTATGATCATTGGCAAACTCAAGTTACATGATTTACAAAGGTTAAAATAGTTTGAGATGTTAAAAATTATAGTAGATGTGTACATCTAAATATATTCAACATTCAAATTCATTTGTTAAAAGTGTGATATCTCACACCAAATTTAAAGTAATGATATTTGAATAGTATTTCACTCTAAACACTCTACTAGCTAACATCTATAATTTATCTATATTTCTCTATTTCTTAACCCCTCATACCTATACTTCTCTCCCTTCTTTCTCTAAGTGGTGTCACATAGTATTTGTGTCCACCCATCATTTTTTCCAAATTAATTAACTTCACTAAAGGGATTTTCCCATTGAACAAGTTCCTTGATTGCTTCTTCAATTTTTATCGTCTCTCGTATACATGCATACAAGCAGAACCCTAAGACACTCAAACTTAGAGCAACTTGACTCTTCAATTCCTTGTCACCTTCATCATCATATAAGTTATCAACAACAATTTTAGATTGTTGTAGAAAAGTGTCAATAGTTTCTTCTATTCCTTCTTCTCCTATACTCGAAACCATGCAGATATCACACTCACTTGACTTTCCTGTTTCAAGATCATAAGAGTTATTCATCTTCTCAACCTCTTTTCCAATACTCCTAGGTGATTTTATTCTTGAAATCTCCTCAAGACATTTGATTGAAGACCAAATCAACTTCTTAACATGTCCAAGTTCAACCTCTAGCGTGTGCACACCCTCTGTCCCACAAACCCTAATTCTTTGGAATTCTTGTTGAAGAAACTTCAATGCATGTTCTCCAAACCACAAGAGATCCACCACTCTTGACAATGACTCCAAAAGCTTATTATAACAAGCACTATTAAATGGTAGAAACCAAAAATTGGGTTCTGCTTCAGCTTCCACAACAAATTTCCTAAGCTCGTTAACTTGCATTTTCAATTTCCTTTGGTTATCTTCCAAATCGGTTTTGCCAGCAAGTAGACTCAAACTCCCTATGGACCCACCAAGTGTGGCCAAGCATTGAGAGAGTACCATTTTGGCGCACGTGGAAGCTCTTTTGGGCCCAAAAATAAGATCCACGAAAATAGAACATGAAAGCCCAATAAAGGTTTCGATGATTCTGGCTATAGCAAACTCACTCGGTGGCCCAAAGTTTTTCCTACCAAGAATTAGAATGGCCCCAATAACTGCAGAAATGCCACCAGCAGGCCCATACATTCGGCTTCGCTGAAGGAAGCTTGTGAAAATGAACCAAGGAAGGAGAGACAAGAATCTAATGGGCAAGAATCTCTCAAATACGAAGCAGCCCAATACTCCATACACAGCACCCAACACGGTCCCATGGGCTTTAACATTCGCTGCTCTAAACGTGGCTTCCCTCCCCGAAACATAGCTCACGGCCACTGAAAGCCCAGCCCAGAACCCATTTTCCTTGCTATATACTAAGCCCACGAACACTGAAAGGCCCAAAGAGAGAGAGAACTTAATTGCTGGCATAACATTTGTACTTCTTAATGTTGCTACCCAATTGGCCCATTTTTCTTTGCCTTTGGGAGAATTGGAAGTTCCATGAACTTTGTCTTGAGCACAAGTTGGAGGTTCGGTCAATGATTTCTCGTGGAGGAGTTTGGCGCAAAATAAGAAGAAGAAAATGGGTAACTCTTGGTGAGTTGTTGGAATGGCATGAAGGGATTGGAGAAGTTGAGTTATGTTTTCTGCGTTGGATTCGGGAACGGTTAGTGAACCACCTCTTAAGGTTTGTTTGGCTTGTTTTATGGTTAGGCTAACGTGCTTCTCAAGGTTATTAAGACCTTTTTTGAGGTCTTCGTCGAGAGTGTTGAATGGGAATGAATTGGTGCAAGTCAAAGCCAACTCCATCCCTATTAGATTGGTATCTACCTCTTCAAGTCTTTCTATTAGGCTCAAGCAGTGTGATCTGAAAATTTTTATTGGAAGTCTCTCCCATTGCATGCCCTCCTGAACAAAAAAAGGAAAAAAAAACATAATTAAAAAACAAGCTTGTGGCTTATTTGCATGTAACAATGAAAAAGAAAGATTAATGATATATATAAAAACAATTTGTACAACATCATCTTCTGTGTCTATATATATCTATTACATCATTTATTTATTTATTTTCAAAATTTTGTCTCTATTCTTTCTTTTCTCTGTCCGAGTTATATAAATTGATGTACAAATATTATTTCTCTAAAAATAATATACATTGCTTTCATGAAATGAGTTTTAGGGCTTACTTGGTAGTGCATGATGATTGAAACGAGCTTGGTTCGCTTAGTTACCAATGACTTGGCATGGGAGATTAATCCGACAGCAATGGTCTTGTCCTCCTCGCATATCACTTTTACAAGAAGCTTCAATCTCTTCAAGGTATTCATTGTTAATAGCTTGTAGCTTTGATTCATCTGTACTAATTGCGTAAAAAAAATTTGGTTATAGAAATATGTTTTAGAAAATAATACCTTCGTTTCTACACACCCACACACACACACACACACACACACATATATATATATATATATATATATATATATGTATATATATATATAAAAGATTCAATTATCTAATTTATCAAAATTAAAAAAATAATTAATTTAATTAATAACAATAAATTTGTCCTATATATATATTTTAAAATTATTATTCTACTACTTTTCTTTCTTAATTAATATTTATATCTTCTAACCAATTAAAATGTATGTTATGTACTTTATCTTCTTAATTAATATTTTTTATTCTTCTAACCAATTAAAGTTGATATTCTTTAAAGAGTTCTTAACTAATGCATTTTATCAAATTAAAAGAACACATCTCAATTTGGAATATTTTAGTCTAAAATAATTAAATATATGAGATACAATCTTATATAAAAATAAATAAATAATTATTCTAAATAATTCTTATAAATAAATACGGAATAGTATATATATATATGAGGAGGGTTTAAACGACACCGGTGTAACTTTAACTAAGTGTTACACCGCTCAATAACTTTATATTAAATGTGAATTTTTTAAATCCAACTGTTAGATTGAAAGTTAAATCCAACCGTTAGATTGAAAGTTCATATCTCTTAGATCATATATATCAAATTTTATATTAATCTAAGATGATTTAATACTTCATTCTCATAAAACAAAATTGACGTAATATATACATTTTAAAATATACTAAAATATGAACACTTTGATTACCTTCAAGTTGTTGTTCAATTTTAACAAAATTTGACATATATGATCTAAGAGATATGAACTTTCCATCTAACGGTTGGATTTTTAAAATTCACATTTAATATAAAGTTATTGAGCGGTGTAACACTTAATAAAAGTTACACCGGTGTCGTTTGAACCTTCATCTATATATATATATATCAATTTACTTATTCTGTTAATCACTTTTTATTTCTACCTTTTTCTTTCTTTCTTATTTATCTCTTTTTTCTACCTCGACTAATTTACCAAAAATAGAATATACATTTATCATCCCTCTAAATTAATTGTCACTCGTGCACTCTTGTTACTTAGTTGACAGCGGGATCGCATTTTAGCCACAACCTTTATTACGTTGTGCTTGTGATATTCTTTTGGTAACATTTTTAGTGCGCATTCTCTAGGTATATATCTACCTATCAATACCATTGTTTTAGAATAAGTGTTGTTTCAAGGGTAACAATATCTATAAACCTTTTGCTTTCACAATTTTAATTTTCACTTTTTTAAAATAAAAAAAAAACCACAACTTGCATTCTATCTACCTTTACAGATTTACTTTCTCAATTTGGTAGACCTTAAGTATTTAAATTATATATATTGTAAAAGCTATAAAAATAATTTTCCAAAATAAGCTGATACTAAAATGTTTTACATGCCAAAACAATTTAAAATTTTTGCGAAAAAATATATGTACAATTCCGTTAAGAATTTTACAACTAGATGGATGACTTTCAAGCAATACTTCTTTTAAATCTCAAGTTAATCAAATCAAAACAAACAAATAAATAAAAGGGGGGGGGGGGGGGGGGGG